TGCCGAGCTGCGGCCGGCTGCTGCCTGCCTGAAATGCATCCTGCGGCGTGGCGAGGAGGTGGTTTGCAGCAGTGGTTTGCAGAGGGATCCTCTGCCTGGGAGAGGAGCAGAGCGGCGAGTTCAGCGCCTGGGAACCTGCAAATACCCTGGAGTCACTTGGATGGGGCTCCTGAACTGGTGCCAGGGTGGGTGGGTGCTGGGGACCCCAGGCGTGGGGGTGCTGCGCGTATGGAGCGGCGCGTACGTGATGAATGAGCGTGCTGTGAGTAATGCGTGGGTGGGCGCCGGGCGTAGCAGGCGAGGGGGCGCTGCGGCCCGGCGCGGCCCCCACGGGAAGGCTGCGTGGGGACAGGAGCCCGCGAGATGCGCCCTGGCTGCTGCAGCCCCTTGGCCCCAGCGCTGTCCCCCCCTCGGGGGGGGCTGTCACCCTGCATTGCCTGGGGACAGGGCTTTGGAGCAGGGCTGAGGCTCGCCATGTGCCGGTGCCCTTGCTGGGGCTTTTCCCCTGGCCGTGGCCTTCCTCCCCACATGGCCTCCTCCTCACAGAGCCAGGCGAGATGCAGCGGTGCTGGCCCCGGGCAGCCCTCTTGCCTGGCCCTGCTCTCCAAGGGCTTTCCAGGCATTAATCGGCTCAGAGAGGGAAGGAGGGCGCGTTATCCCCTCTTACGGCGTGGGGGAGGAGAGCCGGGACGTGACTGCGCCGGGAGTGGGTGTCGGAGGAGGGATCCGGCCTCCTGGCGTTCCCGGCGGCACCGTGATGCCGAGGGGCTTTTCCTCCCTCTCCCACAAGCGTGACGCGGTGCTGCACGGCAAGTGGGGATGTTCGCGGATCCGGCTGGTGCGGTTTGCGGAGGGAGGATTCGGCTTCGCCAGCCCTGGGCGAGGGCTCCCGTTGAAGAGGTGTACCCCCCACCAGACACCGTGGCAGGTGATGCTTGTGGTGCCGATCTTGGCTGGTTGGAGTGGCTTGCTGTGGCGGTGCAGGTGCTGCATCCCCTGCTTGCTCCGGGCGCAGAGCTGTTGCACGCGAGGGCTGGTGCCTCTTCGGCTGTGGAGGGGTTTGGACCAGCAGCCACTGGCTTTGGCACATGCGGCTTTGGCCCCACTCTCCTCTGGCAAGGGGATGGTTTGGCACTGGGAGCGGCCAAGGAGGTTGGCCCAGCTCCCGTTTCCATCCTTCCCCAGAGGATTTCTGCTCCTCTGGACCTGTTGGATGGGAGCGCTTGAGGCAGGGAGGGACGTGTGCATCTTGGACATTGACTTGGCTTGCTGGCGGGTTTTTGCGGTGATGCTTTCCCGGCTCGCTTGCCTTTTGACTTGGAAGATGAAGCTTCGCTGGTGATGGGTGGACCCTGCAAGTTCTTCTCCGGAGCTGCGGCAGGATGGGTTAGCTCCTATTCACCTCCAGTCCTCCGTCTTGGAGGTTGTGGCTTCAAGCTGGAAGAGAAGCCCTGCAGATGGGCGAGCTGAGCAGCGGGTCCAGTGCCGTGCCGATGGAGGAGTCCTTCCCTCTCCCTTCCCCTGCGGTAGGCATCTCCCGAGCTGGGGGCCCTGAGCAACCAGCTGGCCTTTGGAAAAACAACTCCCTTCCTCCCGCTTCATGATGGAGAGGCTGGCGTTGGTGGGAGGGCTGCCTGAGCCAGGAACAGCGTGATTCAGGAGCTGCTGGCGGACAGCTCGGAACGCTGCCTGCATCCCAGTTACCAGTCGAAGGGCTGTGAAGGCATCGGGGCGGTACGCACTGCTCCGTGGGGAGGGCGATGTGGGCAGCCTGCCCGTGGGTACCGGTGTGATGTGGGTCTGGATGTGCTGGGTTGAGCTGGGGGGGAGGGGGAGGGGGGGGGGCACAGCACTCCGGCAGCACTCTCCGGGTGCAGGAGGTCTCCCCCAGGAGCGGTTTCAGCTCTGGCCTCCCACTGCAGCTGCTCGCTCGGCCTTGCTGTGCGCGGAGGGCGCTCGGGGGGAGCACGCAGGTAGCTGCTGGTTGTTGCTGGGAGATGATGGCTCCCGTGAGGTGGCTGCTGTGCGGCACGTGGGGATGCTCTACTCTGAGCCAGTGGTGTTCAGAGGGAGGGGATGCCGGGCACCCCCAGGTGGGAGTGGGGACACTGGGGTGACCATGAGGAAGTCATTTTCTTGCACGCTCCATCTCTGTGCCCCTCTGAGCACTGACCTGTGCCAGCACATGTGCTCGCTGAGCGGCCACCCGGCTGGGCACGGTCCCACCTGTGTCATCGCGGGGGGTGGGGACCCACTGTGGTGGATGGGGGGCTGCCGTGGGGCAGTACCCTGAGCATGCACGCTCCCCTGGGGGTACCAGGGCAGCTGCCTGCCTGCATGGGGATGGTGTTGGCGGTCCCGCAGGACACCCCTTGTCCCCAGGGACGGGGTTTGAAGTCACCATCTTGCCGTGAACGGGGTGCCCAGCCACCCCTCGCAGCTAATCCTGCTCCTCCGCCGGCCCCTCATGACCTTGAGGCATGTCACTTGACCTGCGCGTCGCCCTCCATCCATCTGGAAAATCGGGTTTAAAACGCAGGAATCGCGCTGAAAGCCCAGATGCTGCTTTCCAGCTGGGGGAGGGGGCGAGGGCTGCCCCCTGCCAGGGGGCAGGCGGATGCTTTCGGGGGGCTGTGGGTACCCCTGGGCAGGCAGGGGGGGGATCGAGCTTGCAGTGCGGGGGTGCAGCCCCCACCGAGATGTTGGGGGGGGTAGTGAGGGGGG